ATGTTGAGGAAATAAAGAAAAGCTATGCACATTTGTCTAATGTATATTTCTCAGATGTTTGCAGGTCAGCAGATTCCCTTGAAATAGATATTTTGATTGGATCCAATTATCTGTGGAATTTCCAAGAAGGTCTAGTTATAAGAGGGGGGCCTAAAGAACCAGTGGCAGTGAAGACGGTACTTGGATGGGTGTTGTCAGGACCAGTTTCATGTAAGAGTGACAATTTTGATTATGATACTCTTGTTTCCCTTGTTGAAGAGTCTACAGAAGTGAGTGAAGAAAGAAAGAAAAATGTTGTTGTAATGACTGTGTCAGAAGAGCCTATTGGGCTGAGTGAAGTAATTGACATCAATCGGTATGGAACTTTAAGCAAGTTGCTGAGAGTTGTATCATACATGTACAGGTTTATCAGCAATTTGAGGAGGAAAAAAGCCAGGAAAAAAATCAGGAATGGAAAGAAAGAAAACTTAGAGAAAGGAGACCAAAAATCAGGAATGGAAAAGGAAGGAAAAGAAAGTAATGAGAATGAAGTGAAAATTGAAGTATGGAGTAAGAGAGGGGCAAATATACGTCCTCAGCGCACAGCAGCTAGCAATGCACGCGCCAAGACCAAACTCATGCTTGATCCATAGTGGATCAAGGAGGGGGGAATGTTGGGGAACTTTGCGCTGCGCAGCACCATATTCCCACGAACGCATCACAATAGGTGATATTCTTGTTGTTGTTTTTTAGCACTAATGACTAATCTGTTAAGCTTGTCACTCTGTCTTGAGATTTTATATAATGGCGGCAGAGCAATTGTGCAAATCACATATTACTGATATTTAGCTAATTAATACCTTTTATTGTTATGTTTTGTAATTGGGAGTGTCTTTAGAGTAATTATTTTTACAGTAAACAGATTGGGAGTGTAGAGTGTAGAGTGTAGAGGTAGAACGTAAAACAGATTGATTAATATGATGAGAAATTGAAGATTGATGAAATGTTTGTGTTCAATATTCTGGAGAACCAGCAATAGATTAAATGTTTTCATAACAATATCTTCAAAGGCAAAAAAAGCAAAAAGAAGAAGAAGCCAGGTAGAAAAGCACAATGGCCAGAAAGTCTATTGAATGATCTGATAGACATTATTGCAAATGATGATTACTTTAAGAAAAAACTCATTTTTACAAACACAAGAAATCAAAAGAATGGGGAAATATACCAAAAAGTTCTAACAGAGTTAAAGAGCTGGTCATCGATACGAAATGAAGAATGCCCTTACACAGCTATACAACTAAGGACAAAATTCAAGAAGTCTGTGGCTGAATGCAAAAAGGCAGCTTTGTTGATAAAGACTGGAAGTGGAATAAAACGCTTCCAGGATGATCATGGGTATGGCACGTGGTTCAACCAATTGTTTGCTTTAGTAAAGACAAGAGAATCTTGTCAACCAGAGCAAGCAATTGAACCCTCTGCCATTGCTCAATCTGATGCACAATCACCTATACCTTGTGGTGCATCACCAGCTACATCATCAGACTCACAAGAGTTATTTGTGCCGGTGCCAGCCAAAAGAAGAAAAACAAGAAAAGAAGGTCAATTCCATGATCTGATGGAAATGATGAATGAACTTGTTGAAAAAGATCCAATGAGTGATTTTTTGGCCTTTGCTAGAGAAGAAGCAGAGAAATCCAGACAGCACGAACTGAAACTTGTCCAACTTTTGATGAAGGCACAAAACCCACCACAGCAAGCTAACTATGCTAACATTCAGGGTCAACAACTTATGGACAACTTTTCTTCCTATTATCAATTTTAAAGTTAACATAGTAAAATCATTAGACATATACAAATAATGATCATTTCTGAACATTAACAAGAATAACATAATTAGAAATATTTAAAAGCCTTTAGTGATTATATATCATAATAAAGTTTCAACAAAATTTATAAAAGTTTGGAATATTCAGTACAGGTTTGGCAAGACATACATTTTTGCTATAAAGCCCCTCATATACGAATTTGATCTTGTCAACAATCAGACTGCTGTACAGCTCCCTATATGCCGGACTTGTAGTTACAGTTTCTTTATTACTATATGAATGTTCTTTTTATAATTTTCCTTTTCTATTTATCAATTGGTTAGGTTTTGACATGCAGCGTCTTAATACTGTTTTACTAAGATATTTATATTTCGGGATTGCCTAAACAGTGAGTTTTGCTGGGGTTAGCATAATGAATAATAGGTTTAATGCTTCTGATCAAATTATTGGCACAACTTATCTTCAATAGAAT